GGTCGTATCAAGGAAATTCACTGAATGTGCAGAGATTTCGTGTGTAAACTTGATTGAGGGTGCTACACTGTTAAGGTAGTTTATGAAATTAATCAAAGAGTCTTTATCACTTTTCCAGATAAGGAATATATCATCTATAAAGCGTACCCAGAGTATGATATGGTCCATCCACTCTGTTTGGTACACGAATCTTTCTTCAAGTCTACCCATGTATACGTTTGCAAAGTTGGGAGCGACTCTGGTTCCCATGGCTGTTCCTTTGATTTGAATGTAGTGTTCATTGCCAAAGGTAAAGTTGTTAAGCTTAAGAACCTTCTCGAGGAGACACGATAATGTCATCGGTGATGGCTTGTTCTGGTTTGTTTTGCCTAGCTCTTCCTCCACAATAGTGAGTCCTTCGTCTGTGTCTATATTCGTATATAGGCTTGATACGTCCAGAGTTGCTAAGTAACACTTTTCGGGTAACTTGCCCAAACTCCGTATTCGCTTAATGAAGTGTGTGGTATCTTGTACGTATGACGGTAGCTTTTCTGCTATAGGTCTCAAAAATTCGTTCACATAAGCTGATAGCTTCTCCGTGTGGCTGTTCACGGAGGATACTACTGGTCTACCTGGATTGTTAACTTTGTGTATTTTGGGGAGCATATAGAATATAGGAGTCCTTGATTGTGCTGGTCTTAAGAGTTTAGCCACTTCTTCTTCTAATTCTCCGTCGTCCATAAGTGTATCTAAGCACTGGTTTATGAGCTGTTCGTGTTCAAGAGTGAGATCTCTTCCTACTCTCTTGTAATATTCTTCATTGTCCAGTTGGCGTTTAGCCTCCTTTACATAGTCCTTTGCATTCATGATGACCGTAGCTCCACCTTTATCTGCGGGCTTGATGATTATGTCCGTGTTGTTGCTTAGTCTAAACAAAGCTGCTCTCTCACGTTTGGTTAGATTATTACGTGGACATCGTAGATTGTGAAAGGTCTCATCACTGATTTCTTGCCTTAATTTGTCAATATATGTATTAAGGTATGGTTCCCTTGAAGGTCCAGTATACACCTTGCGCTCCTTCTGGTTCAATTTTTGAAGAATCGATGGTTGGTATCCAGGGCCGTCTATTACGTCTTCTATATTCTCAGGAGTGTGATATTCCTTAAGGGTTAGTCTACGGGCAAAGGCATCAATGTCCTTACTGATTTCATATTTTCCTGGTGGCAGTGGTGTTGGGCAAAAGTTAAGTCCCTTACGTAGAAGGTTTGTTTCCGACTGCGTAAGTTGAATGCCAGATAAGTTTACTGTTCGTCTATTTAAAATATTCTCTATCTGTGTGGATTTCTGACGTGTCATTTCTTTGGGTTTGACTTTACTCATTGTCCATTTCCGTTCCAATGTCAAATTTCCGTTGATATCTTTTCGGTTTGGTTTCAATCTTAATCTTTGTATCTGTTCCTGGCAGGTGGGCGACCGCCTAAAAAATACTGCCGTTGTGATTGGCGCTTACCTCCTTCATGCTGGTTGTAATCTAGTGATTGTTGTTGGTAGCGTCTGTAGCCCCACTCTCTGTCCCTTGATGATCTTTCATAGTACCTTCTTTGGCCACGTTCTTCAGGTGGTATTTTTCTTCTTGTGGGGTCTGACTTATTTGGGGTCAGTTTCTGACGAATGTGTTTCTTGACTACTTCTGCATATGTTTCAGTTCCCCGATCAAGTGGTTGATGTTCTGCCTCTTGCACCGGTTGTTTGTTCTTACGGGCAGTTTCCAGCTTCTTTTCTTTTTTCTCCTTTAGCTGTTTTTCTTTCGTGTCAATAATTGATTCTATTTCTTGTTCTACTTGTTGCTTATCCCTGTCCGTCCAGTCCTCAATCTTCTCGAGTGACTCGAAAGTGTCGGCTATCACGGCAATATTTTGTGCCAGCTGCCTCTGGTAGTGTTCCACGCGACATTCCGCGAGCTGCCGTGAGCAATTGCTTAGTATTTCTTTCCATTTGTTTTGGAAGGTTTCATCTTGTCGGCCTGTCGTCGATCGCAAATCAATGGTTAATCCTTTCGGAATAATATCTTCCTCTATGCATGTTTTCAGGAATTCAACGTGTAGTTTCATCCTCATGTTTTTTTCTTTTAGGGAGTACACTTTCCATCCAAGATCTGTTGGTTTTTCCGTTATTTGAGGGTTCCTCGCTGGATTCGCTGTTTCGATGAAACTAGCGGATGGTGTAACATCGTCCTCGCTGCTTTGCTTGTGCTCGTCCGTGCGCTCGTCCGTGCGCGTATTAACTCCTTCGTCTTGATTCTGGTTTCGCCTTGTATTTCTCTGTTTCCTTGTCGAAGCCATTCTATAAGGTTATATAATTTGCACAATGGAGAATGTGCTTCCGTTTTCAACGCTTTATTAAAGACCCGACGCGTTTCAGCATTTGCCTTCCTCAGGAGCCTTAACATGCAATTGTTACAGAGTCGTAATTGGTTAATTGTGTGACGTAATACAGTGCATGTTGCTTAATTAAATATATATATATATATATATATATATAATGCCTACACTCTATACAATGTCACACATGGCCTTTTATAATGGAGCATCAACATGCTTACATTCTTTCTCATCAATAGATCGTTTTCACTCACGTGACCAATTCCTTGACTACCATTGCTACGCCGCCATATTGGTGTACCTCAATTGTAAACAAACTAGTAGCGTCCTTCGCGTGGAACATGGTTTTGTGTCTGATCGTTGGCTGTGGCAGCAAAAGTGGACGAGATAAAGGGTTGTACTTTGCAAGGGTGCCTTCTGTGGTCACAAATCAAGGCGAAGAGGCACAGAAACTATCCGAAGAAAGAAGATCACGCTGGATTTCAGCGATAAGCAGTGACGATCTGACCGAAGAGATCTTAGAAAACGATCGTGTGTGCGAAAAGCATTTTGTTTCAGGACGGGCAGCTAAGAGCTGGGATAAATTTAATATTGACTGGGTTCCGACATTGCTTTTGCAACACAAGAAAGCGTCTGATCGAGCAGATCATAAAGAAGCGGCGGCAAAACGAAGCGAGAGAGCGAGGGAACGTGTACTGGTGAAGAAGCCGGCTTTTGAAAAGAGAGAACGAGAGCTAGAACTAGAGCGAACAGCAAAGAGACAGAAACTTAATGAGCCCAGTGAACAGGTTTCAAACCTCAGCTTTGAAGGAAATGATGACGAAGAGAAAAAATTAACAGTTGAAGCTGGCACACAAACTGAAGAGTTTGAATATTTATTCATCTCTCTAAACATTGACCGGAAACCATTTTGATCGGTGGGAATTTGTACAAAACGAAGAAAAAGTTAATTCTACACTGGATTGCCTTCCTTCGATATCCTGCAAAATGTTTTCGAACATGTTTCTCCATTTGTTGCTTACAAGTCCCAGAATCTGACCACATTTCAAGAGTTTGTCATGACTTTGATAAAACTTAAACTTGACGCACCACATCAAGATCTTTCATATCGCTTTAATGTCTCCCTTTCAACAGTTTCAAGGATTTTTTCATCCTGGATGGTAGCGCTAGATGTACGCCTGGCTCCACTTATCAACTGGCCTGAACGTGAGGATTTATGGCGAACTATGCCACAGTGTTTTAAATATTCATTTGGAAACAAAACTACCTTGATTATTGATTGTTTCGAAGTATTTATTAATAGACCATCAAATCTGCTTGCAAGAGCACAGACATGGTCATCGTACATACACCACACCGTTGGGGAGGACGAACATCAGACAAATATTTAACTGAGAACTGTGGAATTTTAAATAAGTTGTTGCCTGGGGATCTGGTCTTGGCTGACCGTGGTTTCACCATCGCAGAGAGTTACCCTTCACTTGTGCGACAGTATCTCTCTCAGATTTGTTCTTTTGTAATCTCAATATCTATCTCTTGACAAGCTTTTAATAACTCAGGATAACTCAGAGCGAGGTACCTCTTATCAAACAGATCGCTAATTGTAGGTACGCAGCGACTTTTTAGGACATAGCTGTCTGCATACTCGGGTATTAAGCTTAGAGCGATGGGCTTGCTACTAGACTTACTAAGTTTAGCATAAAAGGTATCCATTTCCGGTTTTGAGGGAACAGGGATCTCCTTTGACACGTTTCCTTTAGCAAAGTTATCAGGGCTGGAAAACATTGGAGAGGTTCTCAATCTTGGCATCTAAATCGTTTTTTATTTTCCTTGCGGATGTAAAGTTTATTTCTCGCACCTTTTCATATTCTACTTGTTTGACGAAGGTAGGTAAAAGCCACGAGCACTTGCGTGCCGGCAAGTCTGCCATTTATTTTTGTCCACGCTTCCAGATAAAATAGCACGTTTGCTATATGCGAACAGGTTTCTGCCAGGCCAGCCTTGCAACCTAAGCAGTATGCAAACAAAATTGTTCCTTCTCTTTCCGTGATAACCCAACATAAGAGAGTCGTTCATACGTTGGGAATGTCTCACCTTTGCTAAAACAAGAAACTTGTCGGCGATTATGTGGCCTTGCACGCTTGCAATAAAACCAGAGACCATTTGGTTATATGCTTCAAGGCTTCGGAAAGCTTTAAACTGTTTCTGAGTGAGGAAACTTGTCTCCAAGACAAGATAACACAAAATATCTGTGGATTCAACAGGAGGCAAACAGTCCCGCTTAAAGTCCTTTCCTTCGACTAAAACTGGATCAATTCCAATTGCCGCTATTTTCTGTAAATATCGATCTCTGACTGGAAAATCCAGCTGCTTCGCGTATTCGGATATCAGAAATGAATAGTCGACCCCGCTTTTGTTCTGGGACTCTTTTTCTTACTCTTTTGAATCCATTTTACTTGTGGGAATGATAATTGTGGAAAAATTACGGGGATTACACAATCGAAAGTGGTACACCAATATGGCCGACCGGAAATGATGTGACGTCACGTGAAAACGATCTATTGATTTACATGAGGTGTATGACTGGGTTGGGCAGGAGACTTCCCAACAGTATTTTACATTGCATCAATTTGGATCTGGTTTTTTTTCTGATGCAAAGCTTCACAACAAAAATCTCCTCCAATCAGAAAAACTGTGCCTGATAACTAGGGTAAGTAACATGTAAAAGGATCTTGAAAGAGCCACGTAGTAACAATTAAATTAAAAAAACTGGTTCATGTCTATTGTATTGTTTAATGTTATCTACTGCGCTAGCTAATTAAGGCCACAATTTTCAATTAATTATTACTAATCGCATAACGTGATGACGTCATAAACGGAATTCACTGTATTACGACTTGCTAGTCAGAAGAACTGTGAGACACCACTGGATTTTGAACGCGACTACTCCAAGCGATGATTCAATAAAGGAGCTGTTTAAAACCGTGGACTGAGTTAATCTTCGACTGGCAAAATATCTATGTTGTTTCACAGAAACAAGATGAAGCAACTGAAATATTTGGAAAAGATGATGAGGTGAGAAAAATCACACATGGATCCTTTCCTTCCTTAGTTTTTTTTTTCCATTGATCATATTAATTTTGTAACAGTTGTAGTTAACATTCAAACTCTGGTTGATTACAGGTGTCTTTCTATGGGAATTTTGATCCCGATCAATCCCTTGATTCCACCATTCCTGGTAAGCAGAAAATTTTCTTTACAGAAGTTTCCATTAATACATTCCTCAAACAAAAGAGGGATCCCTCAATGCCACATTTCTGGTACGTAGAACATTCCTTTCGTAGAAAAGGAAAAATTCCATGCAGATAGTACAAACAGCAATCACAAGGTAAAGTTGCATGTGATAAATGACCCTTGAAAGTCCCCATTCACTTTCCAACATGATGGCCAATTATACCATGGAAAAAAATTAAGCTGTAAACCTAGGTACTTGTTTCTGCACTTCTAAATATAGCAAACTTGAAATAAAATAACAAGAAACCCCCTATAAAGTTATATTTTTCTAGACTCATAAGCATAAAGGAAATTTGCCTGTGAACTGCAACATTAAAAAAATCAAGGCCTTTTTCTTTAAAGATGACAAGGAAAAGGGAGAGCACAGAGATAAGGTTGAGGAGAACAAGACTTTAAGTGAGGGTACGATTTGACAAACACAATTTATTAAGTGTCATGGCTAGTGAATTTCTTCAGCTTTCTAATTTGCTCAAAGCATTCCAAAATGGGAAATTCCACTCCCAGATGACCAATAGCAAAACCCTATAAACAACTCACCACAACAATTTCTTCTTACTATACCCACAGAACTAGAAAAGAAGAAAAAGAAGAAGACACGGAAGAAAAGAAAGAAGAAAAATATTGCATCTCTGCAAGGCAACAAAGAAACTAGTGAAAGAGTAGAAGTTGTAAATAAGAGCAATAATTAGCCTTTAGTGACTGTGCAGTGCCTTGTACTTAGCCTTAAGTTTTCTTTTCATTCCTGTCATAAAGTTTTTTTGTAAATATGATGAGAATAAATGATATCAAGTTTTCCAACATGTATTAGTTGTTTGGTATATTTGACAACATTTTCCAGAGGCAAAGAGATCATTGAGCTATAATAAATATGCTACAGATAATAACAATTTTTGTTTTGGTCATCATGGTCATTAACCAAATATATTAACCAAATATATTAACCAAATATATAGAACATTTTTTTTTGTAGCGAAGTTAGATTTCTCATTTTAATTTGTATTTATTTTGATTATATCCCTGAGATAAAAAGATGGTTTACGAGGAAAAACTCATTTTAAGAAAGAAATTATCATTCATGTCTTTAAGATCGAATATCCCATGAATACAGTCTTCATTAAAGAAAAAAAAAACTAAAACAGCACAGTATGATAAAATATTCCTTGCATTATGACACATGAAGTTTCAGGAACATTTGACCATTATTTTTCAAAATTTATATCTTTGAGATGGTTATAATTTCTGCCATCCCTCGTTGTGGAGGAATGAAGTAACTTTAGTATTGGGCCTGGAAGCTTTGAACTTTATTCGATACACATATTCAATGCTTTTTTCTATGTGCTGAAATATATGCTACCAGCCATATAATAATATTGGTTAAGGCCTTCCCTACCCGTTTACCATATCAAGACATAGAAAATAGAACTTACCTTTACATATTGTACGAATATCTCAGCGCTAACCTTCCGACCCTACAACAACCTTGGGAAAAAAAAAATAGACATCTACGCATGCGCCGAGAGCCGACGTTTGCCGAACGAATCTCGTTTCGTTAAACGAGTCTCGTTTCTTCAAACGAATCTCGTTTCGTCAAAGGAGTCTCGTTGTGTCAAACGAGGCTTGTTTCGTGAAACGAGCCTCGCTTTGACTCGTTTCGATTCTCTCGAACAAACGAGTCTCGTTGAAAATCGTTTATCGAGTGACTCATAAATCGTGACGATTAAAAATCGAGTGGTTTCCCAGAAACCGTGAGTGATCCGAGCACCCTATCTCATTTCAACATTATCAATCTTATATCATGGCCAGAAAACGACAACACGCCGCGCGTCATTCAAAGAAAAGAAGAAGAAGAAGAATCATGGCTAGAAAACAACACGATACACGTAAATCGAAAGAAAAGAAGACAGAGAGGAGGGAAAGTTGACATACAGAAAAAAATCGAAAAATTAGGAATTGAATTTCATCCTTTTTCACTCTCAAAACGTAAAAGATATCAATACCTGGGTCCTGGAACATTTCTCAAAAAACGACTCGCACGCGGTGATCCTGGTATCAATCGTTTGGACAGAATCACCAAACAACACGATATAGACTATTCCAATGCCAAAAACATACGAGACAAATGGAAGGCTGACCTAAAAATGGTTCATGCCATCGATGCACTTCCTGGTAAAAAATCACCCATGGAAAAATTGTAGCGAAATATTATCGCCGCTAAAAGAAAATAATCCTCTTCGTCGATTAGTTATAAAAACAACGCGCATCAACCTTCGTCATTATTACCCACTCAGAATATACTCGCGTAAAAATCAGAGACATCATGGTTCGAAGAAGAAAAAACATATGGAAAGGAACAAGAAGAACATCACGCAGACAAAAAGGGGGTCTCCTACCCTTAGCAGCACTCATTCCAGCATTCATGGCCGCAGGAAAAGCCATCGGATTAGGTGCTCTCGGAGGAGGTGCATCCTATGGTGTTAAAAAAGCTCTAGAAGCTGCCACCCGAAAAAGGAGGAAAAATTAAGAAAAAATGTATTGGAAATAACATAATCATTTGTAAATAAACATCATTCCTTTTTCAAACTCTTTTATTTTTGTCTACTCAATTTTTTTCATCCGTGATTACGAAAAAATGCGCTTTGACATCGATGCCTTGCTACGCGCGCGCGCGTAAGAAACGTTTCACCTTGACCTTCAAACCACGTGCTTGCTTTTTGTACGTGTGTTCGGAAAATTACTGAATGATGAATACCTATAGTTATGCTACGCGCGCAATACTGACGCTATTCTTTTTCACCATTACTATAATTTCTACGGTATCTGGCGAAGTAATTCACTTCGGATCAAACATGGAGTATGTTCCAGATGAAGTTTCACAAAGAGATTATATCTCAGATGAAGATTTATTGAAAGTGGTGGAAGATATTGAACAACAACAAAGCGGGGGTGGTGCTGGCGGGAGTGGAGAAGAAACTAGTGAAGGATTTTTTTAATTTTAAACGAGTTCCGTTCAGAGAGAAGACGGCGAAGAGTTACGGCATAAAACGAACGTCTTACCATCTGAATTTAGAAAACCCGCAAAGTACCTTTCCCGTTGGACATAGGAACATTATAAGAGCCTTTGAAGAAGGACTCGCCAACAGTATCCGTGATTTAATCGTTGGATTACCCGACCATGACCGCATTCAAATTTACATCGGAAGCAACAGACTCCGTAATTCCCATACATCAGCCAACGTGTCCGTTGAACAATGGCGCGACCCTATGGGTGCATCGAGACAGGTACTTAGCAATATTTCAAACCTCCTCAATTCAAATGAAAATTTTGAAATTGATGACACCTTACAGTTAGATGTCACGCACATCACAATGCCGCCGCCAGGAAGCGGTCTTCCAAAATGAAAACGCAAACTCCATATCTTCGGCACCGATAATTATGGCAACTTCCTCAAGTCAAAACGAAGCGTAGTGCGCATCATGAATAATGATGAACTTTGTTGTGCTCGAACTATAGTTGTCGCAAAAGCCATAATGGACGACAACCCACAAGTAACTTCCATCAAAGATTCCCGCAGCCCTTTGCAGAGAACATTGGCACTACAATTACAAGAAGAAACGCGCCTTCCTCTAGGTCCTTGTGGCCTAGATCAAATAAAACTCTTTGAAATCATATTGTGCGACTACCAGTTCATCATCATATCTGCCGAACATGGTCATTCTATCGTTCACAAAGGACTGAAAAGCAACAAGCAGATTAAGCTATTGATGCATGATGGGCATTTCGACGTCATAACCAAACATCCCGGGTTCTTCAACTCTAACTATTACTGCCTTCGATGCGAGAAAGCATACACTCATGAAGACTACACCGCAAAAAAAGCATTTTTTTAAATGAGTTAGATTAATTCAAAATGAGTTAGATTAACTCAAAATTTGAGTTAACTCAGGAATTAACTCAATATATTGAGTTAAGTTACTCAAATATTTCTACTAAAATTTGTCAAGTAATATAACTCACAATATGTGAGTTTATTTACTAGGTATTGAGTAAATTAACTAAAAGTTGAGTCTGTCATAAGGAATACAGGGATGAGGGATGATTTTGAGATGGGCTTTACCAGCAAAGGATGCTTTCTGCTGGGATATTTTTGCTATATTTGCTACACATTATGTAACAGTATAAAGTAACACGTGCACTATGACAAGACATAGTACACAAGCAATTGACACAAATTCGAACAATATTAAACAACCTTTACAAATCGATCCATCCCTAAAATGGCCAAAGTACATGAATAAAACACCCATAAATCATTGAAATACCCAATAACTCTTTGATAATTCAGAGAATCTAACTCAAATGTTGAGTTAAATTACTCAATCGCATTATGATATCCAAGTTGGTTTCTGAGTAATTCTACTCAGAAAAAATGGAGCATGAATAGCACCACAACATAGTTGAAACAAAAGTAATTATTTTTTTTAATAATTTTTCTTTATATTTTTGCAGCCATTTTAAGAAACTTTACTTTCTATTCTGCAATATACTATTTATCATGATTTTTTCTGTATTATTTACATGCATCAATATAGCAAAATGTAACCAAAAATATCATTACTGCATAAGATCCAATCTGTATTTCAATGTCACGAAGACTTGGTTGGCATAGCAACCAAATCCCTTAACGAGACCAAGGGGGTAATAATCTAGAAGCTCAGATTGCTTAATATATCTTATTTCGTTCAGTTGCTGAACTTTAAAAGCATTTAAATGACAGACAAATTCAGTAACATTTATTTTAAGGTACTGAAACCAAACTATGTGTCTCTCAACAACCAAAACCTTTTGGATCTTTCCCAAAATTGGAAAGCCATGGTGGTAGTCAATTACAATAACATCGCCCTTTACGTATTTGGTTCCATAAACTTTAACCCAGGATGTGCGTGTCAGTGAACTGTCGCCTTTAGTTTGGGGGTCTGCCTCTTGCAGCTCATCTTCTACTCCTGCTTCTTGAACAGTTGTTACCCTTCCAACAGCTAAAAAGTTATATAAAATATATATATATATTAAAGGAAACTCTCATGATTTAGCCAATGACATTGAACATGGGGTTAAATTAATTTAATGCTTAGGTCATTAATTACTGGGGGAGGGCTGGTAAGTTTAGGGGGCTTTGATTTGGGAAGGGCCAAAAAATTTTGGACCAGCATTTAGGGAGAGGGACAAGGCTTTGATTTGGGGAGGACAAGATTTCTTGGGATGAAGGTTTAGAAATTTTACTGGCCCTCCCCCCCAGTAATTAATGATGGCTCCCTTACCAGGTCCAATTTCCAAAGACACTCTCAAATAGTTGCCTTGTGAACTTTGCATTCGATAAGTCTGAAGGGCTTGATGCCTCATAGCCAAGGAATAGGTGATATTTTTGAAATTGTTGATGTTGTCTACCAGCTTTTTAAAGTAGTTATGTTTGGCCTCGAACCTCATGGCCCAGTTTCTTACTAGGGGACCATTTCTGTAAATGGAAGATTACTAGATATTATTAAAAAACTCATTAATAATTCATAAGCCTTTGGGCCAACTGGATACACCATACATATTACATGCATGGACCTTTATACTCGATAATGTCCCCCTTTAAGTCCATCTTTTAGATGAACCTTTATATAAAAAAAATTACCTTCATTAGTATTCTTTATATAAAGAACACTAAGACAGATGACTTTATCTGAGAGGAAGTATATGTCCATGTTTAGATGAAGACTTAGAGCCTCATCAAGGTCTCATCACACCCTAAAATTCCAGATTGCCATGTATAGAATATTGAGCATGTGGGAGTTTCTTTTAGAGCTACTTGCACATGCCTGTGACGTCAAATATCTATTGAAGTATGAAAGTCCATGTATGGTGGCTCCAGTGGAACCAAAATCTTATAATTATGAGGTCTAAAAACACTCGGCTGCACCTCATGCTTCTAAACCTGATAAGACATTATTGCTCATTCATTAAACATCACATAAAACTATAAGTAATACTGCATTATATACCCATATATAAGCTGCACTGCAAGTTTCAGAAAACTTAAATAATCAGCATGATGAAGTCTGAGTGGGCTAATAATACATATATTGAAAGGGTATGTAAAGTTATGAAAGGTGGATAAAGTGGTAATACCCTTCCCCTAACCCCCAGTAGTACAAAATGTACAATGCTTACAATTTCAATATAAAAAGACATACTTGATAATTTGATTTGGGTAATGCACCATGTAATGCTGTTTTGGGATTGGAAGCCGGTCATTGAGGTTGACATAGTCCTCTAGGTACTCCTCTATGAGAACTCCAAGATATGCAGCCAGCTGTGGTGTTGCTTTAGGAGCAAAAACAATTTCTTCAATTTTCAGTAGTCGCAAAAAGTTTTCCCAGTGCTCATCATTTTGTGGAATCAAGTCTCCTATAAGTATAGGAAACATTCTTGCCAGGCACCACATCCGAGCTGCTGGTGAAAGAAAGAAAAAGAATATGAAATTATCATGTACTTTTAGTATACAACAAAGCCTTTTATATATATTTTTTGTATATTTCTTTTTCTTTTTAAAATATAACATAATATATAATAGTAATATGTAACTCAACCATTGCAAAACATCATTCTCCTAACCTGACTGTGAAATCCTCATTGAATTGTTTGCCAATGACTGCGGCTTTATAGGACTTGGTTTATTGCTAGCATCAGATTGAGGATACCACAATCTTTCTAATCTGTCATTCACAATTTCAAGTGTGAAATAATTTTCCTCTTGAATGTACTTCTGTAACAGAATCTTGACTTCTAGGGGCAGCACTCCCTCAAGTTGGTCATGCATGACATCAAGAACAAGTCCATCAGTAATGTGGAAGTAACGGGACTGGTTGAGAACACTTCTTGTTTTTACCCCATAAGTTGCTTCTAGATTTGCATCATTTTCTACAAGCCGGCAATGTCTGTCATGGATTGCTCTTGTTCTAATTTGAAAATCTGCTTCTGTAAACTAATATCAATGTGACATTCACAATATGAGTTGTATAATAGTATATTCATCTCAAGTCCATGAACTTTGAAGTGTAGACTCATATTAACACTATTGACACAGGGTCTGATCAAAAGTCTAAACTTATTTGTAACAAAATTTAGAATGCCGGTAAATAATCTTTTACACTTGACACATTGAATAATGACCAAAAATGCATGCACACTACTACTACTACCTTTGTGTTAGTGTCTTCTCTAGTTGCCATACAAATTCTACAAATCCTTAGACCAGAAAAGCTCTCCTGAAAACCACCAAGAGAATGTGCCCCAAGATTGTCACTTGAATAAGGTCCAATGGAACCACTGAATGTTCTTTCTTGTTCATCTATCCAAAATGTTACACCTCTATCCTAGGAAGAAAACAAATACATATTTTTTAATTAAATTATAAATTAATATTAATGACAATGTGCACTTAATTATTTTTATATGGTTGAACTTACATTTAGGTGACAGTTAAGTGTATGCTACAATATACTTACTGCCTCTAGTTGATGCAGGTCTTGCATGAATGGCTGCAGTATCCTATTCATTCCATACTTTTTTATGAGCGGTACTCGGCACAAAGCAATTAGCTGAATTGAGTTGATAACAGAACGGTATTCTGGACTAAGATTTCCCAGATTGAAGTAAAAGGCTCCTGATGTTCATAAAAAAATCAATTTCAATGGCAATAGTCATAACATGTTGTGCCAAACCAAATGCATACCTCAAACAATGTTTTCCTTTGATATTTTTCAATTCTGCTTTAATTCTGCTGACTGTTTTTACCACCTATTTATGTTTAAGGTATTTGGCTCAACATACTAGGTATGACGTATGAATCAAGGCTGAACCTTCTTTAGTTTGGGTCAACACAAATGTGCTATTGTGCAGCACAACAGAAGCACGTCGTATGAACCAGACCTTACATTTGCACTTATTTTACACTGCACATTTGAGGGAACTTACTCTCATTGCATGTACGCATTCAATATTTTGATATTGAACAGGATTGAAATTTAGGATGGTGGATGTTGCATGTCAAACCTCATAAACATTCATAAGTGAATAGGATATCCCCAAAAGATCAGTTTTTAGAGATTTCTCAAAATTTCCCTGCCAGATATTGTTTAAACATGACAAACATGCAATTAATATCTTGTGGATAGTTTGGTTGTAGTTTGTTTTTTCATCATCTGCAAACACACCATCAACAAGCACACACACACACACACACACACACACAAATGTCTTTGATCCAAGCGGGTTTGTTACTTGAAAATCATCATAGTAACAATGAAGAAGTAGTGCATTACCAGGTTGTCCAAAAAGAGCATGCATTTTGTACTGTTCACTATCACAATAGTCTCTTAGAATTCCATCATTTGAGGAATGACCATTCATAACCTACAAAAGTACCCAAATTATTGAAATGTGCCACAAGTAATTTGTTATTAGAGGGACTGTCATGTAAAATAATGGTATTGATTCAATATTGTCAACTTCAAAATGATATCTAAATTGTCACAAAAACTAAGAGTTTTCCAAATCACCACACCCAAGTTCCTCCATAAAAACATGTAACCCATACACTGAAGTGTTTCAATATAACTATTAGTGCAGTTTTCGTATGACTGTGAAACGTTCACGGCATGAACAATGTCATGGGAAGGAGTCAGCCAATTAAAAATCTAGAAAACATCACGGTCACTGCAAGACACGCACTCCTCGTCCAATCAAATGCAAGAAACATGGCACGAAACACTGCACGGACACTGTCACTACGCGGACACGGCACTGCTTAGCCAATCACATCGCGCAAAAAGAAAATCCAGCCAATTAAAATCCTACGTTACGACACGACACGTTCACGGCACTGAACTTTTCACAGTCATACGAAAGCTGCTCTATACAGGGACTGCACAGCATCCTAACAAGTGTGTGTGTGTGTGGGGGGGGGGGAAGGGGGGGCGCTAACATCAGAAAATGCAAACCTAACCCTACCCATCTCTGCAGTTCCTGTTATATTCCCTGTTCTACATACATCAAATAGGATGCTTACCTCACATAAAACATCTGCCTGATTGAGCAAAGATTGTAGGGTTTTCAGTATCGAGATGTAATGAAATGTTTCCTTGACCAGGCAGAGTTTTTGCTTGCCTTGCAGATAGCGATATTCAGCATATTGATTGAGGATGACTTCCTGTGGCTCCTATATATATTAAAACTCATATCAGCATAATAATCAATATATTTATATTATTTTGGTAATGCATGTGTTTATAAGAAGGCTAATTAAGATGACTTTAAAGCAAGTTAACACAAGTGATAAAATACATTAATTTGTCCCATATCTTCTAATCACATCTATTAAAGCCTGGACATAAGCTAAGGACTTACCACAAAGTTAAAATTCTCAACAAAGTACTTCATCTGTTGGTATTCATTCTGCAAACGTTGTTTTGCTTGGGAGTAGATACTTGGCTCATCAAGTACTCCAGATAGGCCCTCAACATCAGCAATTTCTATTCCACTGCTTTGAAGGCATGCCACCACTTTGTTTTTCATTTCCACTAAGCTACTGTCCACTAGGTCTCCTGTATTGTCAAGAATAGCATTGATTGTCTGTTGGCTTAGTTGATTTTCTTCTTTGGTTTTTAAAATAAACAGTGCCAAGAATCTTGTCACATCGTCGACGTAGTTTGTGTCTTCATTTGAATCGTTGTCTTCTCCATCTTCTTCATCAGAGTTTTCATCTTCTACGTCTTCATCGCCTTGCTCACTTACGTTCGCAAAATTTAACAGTGCATTCTTCTTCTCTTCTCTCTGGATATGGGATTTGAACGAATTGAATTTTCGAAATGACTGGCCGCATTGTCTGCATGTGATGCTAAAGTTTGGTTCATGACTGTGAATAAATTTGATATGATGTAATAACTTTTTGAAGCTTCTACCAAGAAAACTAGTACAGTATGGACAACTATGCATTTGGATATACGGAAAACCTTCGATAAACAACGACGCGCTGATGAAGGAGAACACAGAAAGACCCTAATTCAATGGCTCTTAAACGAATGTCTGGGTGCTGACCAGTAGAAACGCAGGCTCTGGGAACGAGATTGGAATGGTAGTAGGACAAAGTTTGAGACAAATCAACTCTTTTCTTATAAAAATATTTATAATATATTTCATTACAACGTAGATATTATTTTAGCCGTCTTTATTTAGGATATATTGTATGAATGAATATTTTCCAATTTGAGTTTCCTGTTGTTTTGGCGCTAAAATTTAACCTCGATGTGATGAACATGACCATGTGATAGTGGCTACCAATCAAAAAAAAGGGCGCGAATGTACGAGATAAAACTCTTGTTCTCCATGAATGCTTTCTCTCACGTAGTCCAACTCTTTGCATTGCAATAGTCAAGTGAGCTCTTTAGCGTTTTCAAAAAGATGGCAAGTTTCCCGAAGTCTGTGGACGAGGTTAAGCAGTGGATGATACAAAATGGGTTTTCGTCCCACGCTTCTACCTTTGAAGGTAAGCTATAACTAGAGAATTTGTACAATATTAGGTTAACCTGAATTTCAAGTTTATTCGTACAAAGCTCATTTGTTGTCCTTCAGTACATGCTTAGATCTGAATTTTAGGTAGAGATATAATACAACGATAAATCATGTATTATTTTAGTTTATTTTTGTGAGGATTTCTTTATTTTCCAAGGTTATTTTCCTTGAACTTCGCGCTATCTGTACCATGTACGACCATGTACACACTCTGGTAGGATCTAGAGAGCATTACCCGTTGTATTGCAAATCGGTGCCTCAAACTCGGGTTTTGGTGATTAAATATTACGAGGAGATTTGGTTGATCTCTTTCCAATGGAAAGATTCTTGGTTTTGTTCCAATGCAAAGATTCTTGGTTTTGGCGGGAACTTCGGTACCATTCATGCTATGCCGTGCTAAGCACACATAGATAGGTCTTGCCTAATACCTAAGTACAAAACTATCAAGCTTTACCCCACATTCTTTCATATTGATTCCAATTGCTCTCTTTTCTTTCATAAGAGAACGAAATCGATGGCGAAGCAATGCAATGCTTAACGGAGAATGCGTTAGTGCAACTGATACCTGTGGTCGGCCCTAGAATGAAGTTTATCAAGCAACTTGAATCTTTGAAAAAAACCTCCAGGCCCGAGAGTATTGATGTAGTTGAAGAGGGTACCCCAATTGCCAATGAAGAAATGGA